GTCCTCACCAGGAGATGCATGAGAGAGCAATGCAGGACCCAGGAAGAAATCCATGTTAGCAGAGTGTAACCAACAGGAGAAAAATGAATTCCTACAGAACAAGGGAGCTAACAGAAAGTAGCAAGATAAGGTTGGTGGCCAGTGCAGCTTGTTAGGACCTGCCCAGTGGTACCCAGAGTCACAAAGAGGGAACACAACCCCAGCATAGCTACTTTTGAATCCTGCAGCCAAGGCTGTTTATCCAGCATCCCTTGAATAGTGTTGCCTCCAGGGGACCCTCAGACACTGTTCCTGCACATCTAAAAAGCACATTCTAACCAGAAAATGTACTAATGTGACCTCTTTTCAGGTGTGTGCATGCACCTTCAGTACAGTTCTCAGGGCTGAAAATTACCCTGAAAGGGTTTCAGTAGGGCTTCTTGAACCCTCCCCCACAAACCTGAAAATTCCACACATTTTTTTATGTGTATGAGTGTTTTACCTGCATATATGCAAATGTACCTGTGTTGTGAAGTGAAAAATCTGTGGAGGCCAGAAGACGGTGTCAGATCCCTTGGAATCAGAGTTACAGATGGTTGTTAACCCCCATGAGGGTGCTGGGTGCTGGGAATCAAACCTGGATCTTCTGCAAGAACAGTCAGAGCTCTTAACTACTGAGCCATCTCTCCAGCCCCAACTTTTTCTTTTTTTCTTTTTTTTTTTTTTGAGTTGGGGTTTCTTTATGCAGCCCTTGCTGATTTGTAACTCACTATGTAACCCAGGCTGGTCTCTAACTCACAGAGATGCCCTTGTTCTACCTCCAAAGTGCTGGGATTAAAAGGCATGTGCTGGGGCTGGAGAGATGGCTCAGTGGTTAAGAACACTGGCTGTTCTTGCAGAAGACCAGGGTTCGAATCCCAGCACCTACATGGCAGCTAACAACTGGTAACTCCAGTTCCAGAGGATCCGACAGCCTCTTCTGTCCTCCTTGGGCATTGCACAACACAGGTGCACTTACCAACATGCAGGCAATACAGGCATACACATAAAAAATAAAAATAATAAATATTTTAAATTAATATAAAAGGCATGTGCCACCAGGCCTGGCAATTCTATGCAATTTTATGTAGGGCAGATGTACTTTTTTTTGAGGTAAAGTCTCACTATGTAGCCTAAGTCGACTTGAAACCTCAAGAGCTTCCTTCAAGTGCTTGGATTACAGGCATGTAAGACCCAAATAGGCCCCTTTACCAAATGTGTTTTTTTAAAAAGAATTATTTATGAAAGGTATGGTGTTGCACACCTTTAATCCCAGCACTCAGGAGGAGAGGCAGGTGGATCTCTGTGAGTTCAAGGCCAGCCTGGTCTGTATAGCGAGTTCCAGGCCAGCGGGGGGTACTGGGAGGCCCTGTCTCAAAAAGACCAAAAAAAAAAAAAAAGAATTATTTATTTTTATTTTCTGTTTATGAGTGTTTTGCCTATGTATCTAAGTGTACCTGTGTCATGAATACCTGTGTAAGCCAGAAGAAGATGTCAGACTTCTCGAAACTGGAGTTAGGAATGGTTGTTAGCCACCATGTGGGTGCTGGGAACAAAAACTTGGGTTCTCTGTAGGAGCAGCCAGTGCTTTTAACCACTGAGTCATCTCTCCAGTCCATGTCTGCCGCCCCCCACCCCTGTAATATGCTTTTATCTGGGGGGAAATTCTTCAACAGATTCTCAAAAGAGTTGGAGGATGCAGTAAAAACTAAAATTCTGGACCAGCGAAATAGATTGCTCAGGGAGTAAAAGGCACGTGCCCCTGAGACTGCCTGACTACCTGAGTCTGATTCCTGGGATCCACATGGTGGAAAGAGGAAACTGACTTCTCCAAGTGTCCTCTTCACCTGTCATCCAAGGCAGTGAGTCTCTGGGACTTCTCATGTAGCCTAGACTGGCCTCAGACTTGCTTGAATTTCTGAGCCTCTTGTCTTCACTTCCTGAGTGCTGGGATTACCGGTGGCACTGGATTTCTCTGTTTTCTTTTTTTCTTTTTTCTTTTTTTGGTCTTTTTGAGGCAGTGTCTCCCTGTAGCCCCAGCTGTCCTGGAACTCACTATGTAGACCAGGCTGGCCTTGAACTCACAGAGATCTGCTTGTCTCTGCCTCCCAAGTGCTAGGATTAAAGGCGTGCACCACCATGCCCAGCTTTTATTAATTTAAAATTTTCAAATTTATTTTAATATTATGTGTATACATGTAGGTGCTGGGAACTGAACCCGGGTCCTCTGCAAGAGCAGCCGGTGCTCTTAACTGCATCATCTCTCTAGCCCTGGCCCTGTGTTTTATGTTGTGCTGAGAACTAAAGCCATGACCCCAAACCAGAGCATCATGCCTCTACCACACTGAGGTACATGAATTATTATTATTGTTGTTGTTATTTATTTATTTTGGCCTTTTTGAAACAGGGTCTCCCTGTAGCCCCAGCAGACCTGGAACTCGGTTTGTGGACCAGGCTGGCCTTGAACTCACAGAGATCTGCCTGTCTCTGCCTTCAGACTGAAGTGGTGAGATTAAAGTTGTGTGCCACCACATCTGGCCTATTTATTCCGATTATTATTATTATCATTTAGTCTGTGTTTGTGTGCGTGTGTGTGTGTGTAGGCACATGATGTGTGAGCGCAGGCACATAAGAGGATGTGTGGCTCGTTGACACAAGCACCTGTGGAGGTCAGAAGACAATTTTATGAAGTTGGTTCTCTCCTTCCACCTTTAGTGAGTTCCAAGGATTGAAGTCGGGTCATTCCCTGCACGTTCCTTTCACTATTGAGTCATTTGTGTGATCCCCAACTATTGTTTTTTTTTTTTTTTTCTTTTTGGTCTTTTTGAGACAGGGTCTCCCTGTAGCCCCAGCTGTCCTGGAATTCACTATGTAGACCAGTCTGGCCTTGAACTCAGAGATCAGCCTGCCTCTGCCTCCGGAGTGCTGGGATTAAAGGTGCATGCCACCCTGCCCGGCTTCCAACTATTGTTTTTAAGACACAGATTATCAGATATTCTGCTCTTTGAATTTGTATCCATGAGAACATAATTTCCTGGTCTTGAGCTGTGCAACTTGCTTTGACACAAGTACAAGCCTTTATTTCTAACCCAGGTTAAGGGTATTCCCAACCAAATATCCCAGTTATTTTAATAGAATATAGTTTCCAAGGAAATAGGGCCTGAAGTCCTTTCTTAGCTGGGATCTTGCATACAGACAAGCTTTGCTTTGATGGGGAACAATAGTCACTTCATTCAGTTTACCTATGGGGAGGGGGTGCAGCTCCATGGCAGGTACTTGCCTGCCTAGAGAGAAATCCCCCTACAGTCCTGCAAAGAATGCTGTGAACTATAAGAACAGCATTTGGGAGGTAGAGATGGAGGACTGGGTATTCAAAGCCAGCCTGGGCTACATAGTGAGTTCAAGGATGCTAGACCTAGAGGCCCAGCCCACCCAGCCTATTGAACTTGGAGTCACTGGTGGATTCTGGGAAATGGGGAGCCACTAAGGTTCCAATGGAAAATTAAAACAAAACAAAAGAAAAAACCCCTACATGAATATGGAAATAGGACTAGTAGGAAGAAGACGGGGTTGAATTGAAGAGGCAGAGGGAGCCAAGGGTGGGGGTCGAAAGTAATCAGAATGCCTTGTATACATGTATGAAAATGTTGAACAACACATTTTCAAAAGCGAGAAAGAAAACCACCTCAGACAACAACAACACAACACAAAACAAAACAGGGGGGTGGAAAGATGGCTCAGGGGATAAGCACACTGGTTCCCAGCAACCACAAGGCAGCAACACCTGTTCAACTCCAGTTCCAGGAGGTCCGACAACCTCTTCTGGCCTCAGCAGCAATGTACGCATGTTGGTGTACTTATATATATGCAGGCAAAACACTCATACACAAAAAATTTTTAAATGAAAATAAGGGCTGGAGAGATGGCTCAGTGCTTGGGAGCACTGGCTCCTCTTGCAGAGGACCTGGGTTCGAATCCCAGCACCCACATGGAAGTTAATAACTCCAGTTCCAACGTTCTCTTCTGATCCAAGTGCACTTACATGTATGCAGGCAATACACTTAAACACATGAAATAAAAAATAAAAATATTTAAAAATAAAATAGGCCGGCCGTGGTGGCGCACTCCTTTAATCCCAGCACTCGGGAGGCAGAGGCAGGCAGATCTCTGTGAGTTCAAGGCCAGCCTGGTCTACATAGTGAGTTCCAGGAAAGCTGGGGCTACAGGGAGACCCTGTCTCAAAAAGACCAAAAAATAAAAAATAAAATAAAATGAAATTGAAAATAAATAAATTCAAACAAACAAAACTTCCTGCCCAAGCAAACAGAAACTTGGAAACCTGACAATGTCTTTCTCATTGCAATTTCATCTGGTTCTGAGGGCTGGACAGTGGGTGTTGGAGGGCACAAATGCCATATATGAGTGGGGTGCACATGTTACAAGGGGGTAGAGGCCAGGCCTTGGCGGCGCACGCCTTTAATGCCTGCACTCAGGAGGCAGAGGCAGTCAGATCTCTGTGAGTTCAAGGCCAACCTGGTCTTCTCAGTCAGACCCTGTCACAAAACAAAACCAACCAAAAACTAAAAAAAAACCAAGTCGGGGTAGAGGTTGCGGTGCAGTGATAAAGACAACGTCCCCTGAGCGCAGAGAGAACCGCAGAACTGTTCTCACCACTCTGAGGGCGAGCTACGTAGAATCTCATTTCTGCAGCCCTGAAGAAAATAGCACGTGGTTATTGCGGCTACATCAGTGTGTGGACCAATGGGAAAAATGGTATAGAGGGAGGGGCGGGGCTATGCAAATAAACGGAGCAGTGAGCTAGCCTGCCCGTCAGTAAAAGAGAGTTTTAAAGGCTGTTTCAAAAAAAATATAGCTATTGTGTGTAGTAAGAATAATGAAAAGGTACATGCAAGGAGTACTACATGTTGAACAATAATTAAAGTACCACCGAGACGAATCACCACATCTAACCTAGGAATCGTAAGACTGAGACTGCCTTTTGGCTAAGCTCAAGTGTATGTGTTCTTATTAGCTTAATATGTGATATGTCCTGTATCCGAGGACAACGTATCAGACGGGTTTTTGGCCCCAGGAAATGGGATAGGAGTATGCTCCACCACTCCACCACTCCACATACTGGTATTGCAGTATTGTCAGGAACGGTGCACCCCTCCCAGGGACCATGATTTAAAGAAAGATTTTGTGAGCTAGGAAAAAAGGCGCTTTTGTAATTGTGAGTGCTAGTAATTACACGCAATTTGTTTTGCTGATAAAATTAAACGACAGTTTATGAAGCCACAGAGCTTATTTCAAATGGTTTTTTTTCTCTAAATTTGCTTCGGGTGGAGGTGGCTCAGCGTATTAAGAACTCTGGTTGTTTCTGCAGAGGAACCGGGTTCCCAGTACCTACCTACATGGCAGTTAAAATGATCTAACGACTACCCTGTTACCTAATTAACTACAGTTCCAGTGGGTCCGACGCCCTCTTCTAACCTCTGCGGGCACTGCACGACACGGGAACATGTATACACACGCAGGCAATACATTCATACACATAAAAATAAAACATTTTTTTAAAATGGAATGGTCAACTGCAGCTTAAGTTGTAAAAGTAGGCGGGTTTCATTCCTACTGGTCTAATGTAAAAGTTTTATGACATTGCTTACCTACAACTGAAGCCATCACTCCCAGTTTAGAGGCATGTTAGCCTTGCAGATTAAAAAAAAAAACCAAAAAACCTTCATTGCTGGGCGTGGTGGCGCACGCCTTTGATCCCAGTACTCGGGAGGCAGCGGCAGGCGGATCTCTGTGACTTCGAGGCCAGCCTGGTCTACGTAGAGAGTTCCAGGAGACGTCTCAAAAAGACCAAAACAAAACAAAACAAAACAAAAAAACAAAAAACAAAACAAAAAGAAAAAAAGCCCACAAAACAGAAAAAAACCCTTCATTTATTGCCTGCATGTATGTAAGTGCACCCGTGTGCAATGCCCGCGGAGGTCAGAAGAGGGCGTGGGATTCGCTGAAACGGGAGTTACAAACGGTTGTTAGCTGTCTTGTGGGTGCTGGGAATCGAACCCGGGTCCTCTGCATGGGGAGCCAGTGCCCTTAACCGTCGAGCCATCTCTCCAGCCCCAACCTTGCAGATTTGTATTCTCTAAATTCGAGCCTAATTTCTCGCGGAGTCTCAATTCGAGGAAATAATAAAAGGACACGCTGGTCTCTACTTCTCAAAAACCGAGATGTTTTAGGATTGCTGGTTTCTGTCTCAGTTTCTGCTTCGTACTTCACAGTCGAGAATAAAGTCACGAACCTCATGAATGAGTCATTTCTCAAATGGACTCTTCCCTTGTCTCATACAAACCCCACAGGGTGAGGCAGGGATGAGAGCTGGCGATCCCGCACTGCGATGCAGGAAGGACAGCGCAAGAGGATCAGTTTCCTCTTCAGCTCCTCTTGAACTTTTTTATACCCTGGAGTCCCAGCTGGCGTGGAACTCACTATGTAGACCAGACTGGCTTTGAATTCACAGAGATCCGCCTGCCTCTGCCTTCCGAGTGCCGAGATTAAAGGTGTGCGCCACCACACCCGGCTGAAAAATAAAAATAATTTTTAAAAAGGAACCGCAATTTCAGACTGAGCCCGACGCCCCCCGATGACGTGGGCGGTGCGCCGGAAGTGCGAGCGGTCCGCCGTCTTGCCATGGCTGCGGCCTCCTCGCGCTGGAACCATGTGTGGGTCGGCACGGAGACTGGGATCCTGAAAGGTGCGTGTCTGAGTTGTTCGTTGGGACGTGCCAGGGTGGCCTGCGATCACCTAGCGTGACTGTCGTCCTGTCCCGCAGGGGTGAACCTGCAGCGGAAACAGGCGGTGAACTTCACGGCGAGCGGACAGCCGCGGCGGGAGCAGGCGGTGAGCGCGCTGTGCTGGGGCGCCGGCGGCGAGACCCAGGTGAGTGGCCCCCGGCGCAGCCCGGGCTGGGGGCGCGCTGCGGCCTGGCGCTTCGCCCAGCCTGTCCTTCTCTACCCGCAGATCCTTGTGGGCTGCGCCGACAGGACAGTGAGACACTTCAACGTCGAGGAGGGCATATTCCAGGGCCAGAGTCATTGCCCCGGCGGGGAGGGCACATTCCGGGGTCTCGCCGAGGCTGATGGGTAAGAGCCACGCTTAGCCCGGGTCATGGAGCGCTGAGGTCCCCTTGGGTCAGCTGAGATTACACCCTTAGGTGATAAAGCCCTGAGATAGGTGGTAGGGAACTAGGTTCTTAGCTCATTCGTTCCTATAAGGTGCATGTATTCCAACATCCACTGAATGAGATATGAAAGGTTTGAGGGCTGTGAGTAAACTTTGCCTTCATAAAGTATGCATTCTGCAGTTTTTGTCCTGGCTCCATTATAACGTTCTGGCAAGTAATTTTAAAGGTTTTATTTATAATTTTTATGTGTATGAGTGTATTGCCTGAATATGTTATGCGCACCCGTGTCATGCAATGCCCGCGGAGTTACCGAGGGTTGTTAGCCACCGTGAAGGTGCTGGGAATCGAATCCGGGTCCTCTGCAAGAGCAGCCAGTGCTCTTAACTGCTAAGCAATCTCTCCAGCCCCTTATTTTAATACTTTTGAGCATGTTTATCACTGACAGCACCCAAGGTAATAAAGCTTCCAAAGTAAAGGCTAGGAAGGAAGATTAAACCTAGGTTATTGGTGCAGTTTTTCTCCATAGATGAAGAGAGAAAGCAATTTTGTTAATTGAACAAGATCTAGACAGGCTATGCAGGGGATGGAGTTTGAAACTGGGTCTCTGAGGGTCTAAGCACATACATTGAGGAAGTAGCATTTGGAAGTAGAAGCCAAGGGAGAAATTGGTGTATAAGATTGGTTTTGTATTTGGTTGAGATTAAATGCAAAGGGCTTTTGTACTAGGTTGAAGGTTCTTTTTTTGAGACAGAGTTCCCCAGTATCCCCAGCTGGCCTGGAACGCACTATGTAAACCAGGCTGGCCTCTATCGCACAGAGCTCCACCTGTCTCTGCCTCCCAAATGCTGGGATTACACTACGTTGAGATTTTATTTTGTAGGTGGTAGGCAGTTACTGAGTTTTGGATGGAAAGTGCCAAGGGACAGAGCTCTGTGCTTGTAGGAGTGGGGATTATTAGAGATACTGTTTGCCACAGCCCAGGTAAGCAATACAAAGCTTGAACCTAGGTAGGCAAATATAAGAGCATAGGCCAAGTCTAGAGCTTGGGAGGAGAGTCCCTTTGGGCTTTGTAGGAGGAAGGCTATGTTGTTTGGTTTGGGTTGGTTTTTGAGATGTGGTCTCATGTAAACAAGGCTGGCTGTAAACTTGCTGTGTAGCTCAGGCCAGCTTTGAATTCCTGATTTTCCTCTTCCCTCTACCTCAAGTGCTAGGTAGGATTAGAGACATTCACCACTACACTTGGTTTACACTTTTATTTTTTGAAAATCATTTATTATTTTTATTTTATGTATGTGAGTGTTATGCCTGCATGTAGGTAAGTGCACCCGTGTCGTGCAATGCTCACAGAGGACAGAAGAGGCTGTCAGATCCCCTGGAACTGGAGTTATGGACAGTTGTTAGCTGTCATGTGGGTGCTGGGATTTGAACCCTGGTCTTCTGCAAGAACAGTCAGTGTTCTTAACTGCTGAGCCATCTCTCCAGCCCCTGGCTTACACTTTTAAAAATTCCACTGGCCTGGAGAGATGGTGTTGAGGGCATACTGCTCTTGCAGAGGACTTGAGTTTGGTTCCCAGCACCTACATCAGATAGCTCTGCAGACACACACACAAACACACAATTAAAAATTAAAAGAGTTGGGCATAGTAGCACACACCTTTACCAGCACTTGGGAGGCAGAGGCAGGCTGGCCTACAAAGTGAGTTCTAGGCTAGCTGGGGGCTACAGGGAGACCCTGTCTCAAAAAACCAAAAATAAAAATAAATCTTAAAAAAAAAATATATATATTCCCAGTGTTTCCTCCCTTGCTTTCAGCAACCTCATCACATGTGTGGATTCTGGAATCCTCAGAGTCTGGTGTGACAATAACAAGGAGGCATCCTCTGACCCAGTAAGGCTCCCCAACCTGATGATTGGGAAGGGTGAAAACCAGGGGCCTAATGGTATTTTGGAGAGGGAAGATTAAGGACTAAGGTCTCTGAAACTGACTCATCTCTGGTTGTTTTCAGCTCCTGGAACTGAAGGTGGGTCCTGGGGTGTGCAGGATGCGCCAAGACCCAGCACACCCCCATGTGATTGCCACAGGCGGGAAGGAGAATGCTTTGAAAGTGTGGGACCTGCAGGGGTCTCAGGAACCTGTGTTCAGGGCCAAGAATGTGAGTTGATGAGAGGGAGGAGGAGATGCTGAGGTTGGGGAAACTGAGGCCATGGACTTTGATCAGAGACCAGATGGGCTTTGGGGGTAACGAAGGAGGACTGAAGGAAGGGGCATGTCTAGTTCACCAGCACCTTGTGCCCATATGTACCTTCCACACCAGGTGCGGAACGACTGGCTCGATCTACGGGTTCCCATCTGGGACCAGGATATACATTTCCTCCCTGGGTCACAGAAGCTTGTCACATGCACAGGGTACCACCAGGTGAGCTTCTCCTTACTCCTGGGATAAAGCAGCTTCCTGGAAAACTAGCCCTGGCAGAATAGGACCCCATGATGTGCCGTGGCTCCCTTCCTTGCTGTCTTTCTCTTCTGAGCTCTCAAAGGTGCTGATAGTTCCCACCTGGCCAGGCCCTCGGTGAGCTTGTCACCTCCCTTTTCCTGAATTCTGGGATGCAATTTCTAAACTATGGCTGTTTCTATTTCTCCTACCTGGAAGAGAAAGCAAAGGGAGTATCCTAGGTATCATGGGTGGACATCAGGTTGGATGTTAAAAACATATAGGGGCTGGAGAGATGGCTCAGCAGTTCAGAGCAGTCTGCTCTTGCAGAGGACTGAGGTTTGGTCCCCAGCACCCAAATGGTGGCTAACTCCCTTAACCATCCTTAACTCCTGTTTCAGGGGATCCAACACCCTCTTCTGGCCTCCTGAGGCATGTACTTACCTGGTACACCTATATACATATAGGCAAAACACTCATACACACAAATAAAAATATTTTTTAAAAAACAAAAAAGGGGGGGCTGGAGAGATGGCTCAGCAGCTAAGAACACTGACTGTTCTTGCAGAAGACCTGGGTTTGAATCCCAGCACCCACATGGCAGCTAACAACTGCCCATAACTCCAGTTCCAGGGGCTCCAACAACCTCTTCTGTCCTCCTCGGGCATTGCACAACACAGGGGTGTTTACCTACATGCAGGCATAACACTCATATACATTAAATAAAAATAGTAAAACATTTTTGAAAAAAAAAAAAAACCCATCTAGTCCACCCATCTAGTACTAACAAGGCCCAGCCTTGCTTAGCTTCTAAGATGAGTCAAGATGGGGTGTATTCAGGGTGATGTGGCCATGGGCAGAGCTGTGTAGTCCTCATGTAGTCTAACTTGGTTTGGGACTGAAACTGGTCTCAGCTTTTTGTGAAGGGCTTGACTGGGATCTTCAAGGCTCATCTCTTCTGAATTTCTGAGACCCTGGCAGGGCTGGGTCACTGTTAACCGTTTGTATGGTTCCTGTGCAGTCCTAGCACTCTAGGTGCTGGGCCTCTGCTCAAAGCCTGTGAAGAGCTCCTAACTCCTCCCTCACTCAGGCTAAACTTTCCTGCTTAAAATTCAGCACCCTCTCACTACTGGTCCAATCTACTTTTCCATCCCTCCACTTCCACTAGAATGGCATATGGGGGACAAACATGGACCTCTTTCCTCAGCTCTATCCATGCTTGCTCCTGAGCAGCCCACCCCCTAGCATTCTAAGGTGAGGTACATTCATCAAATGAGAAAGTTTCTCTGAGGGCATGTAAATAAGCAGTCCTCAGTGGGCTAATGATGTGCAGATGTGGGTGGTGGTGGTGGAGGGAGGCAGTGTAAGGATGTCCTTCTGATGCCTCAATCTTCCTCTAGGTCCGTGTCTATGATCCGGTCTCCCCCCAGCGCCGTCCAGTCCTAGAGGCCACCTATGGAGAGTACCCACTAACAGCCATGACCCTCACTCCTGAGGGCAAGTGAGTGTTGAAGGGAAGGGGCAGGGCAGGGTTCTGGAAGGAATTCAGGAGTCCTGACCCCATGCTGGTCTCAGTTCTGTCATCGTAGGGAACACGCATGGGCAGCTGGCAGAAATTGACTTACGGCAAGGTGAGTGGGCTAGGGGTTGCTTGGGAAGAGGAGGGGCTAAGGAGGAAGTCAGGCAGTACAGGGAGACCCTGAGCCCTCAGTCAGGGCCACACTGCCTGGGTTCAAGTGCCCGTTTCACCAAAAGCTCTGTGACCTTGGACTAGTTACTTAATTCTTTGTTGTTTTTTTTTTACCTGTAAAATGGGAATATTCATAACTCCCATCTCCAGGTTATTTTGAAAACTTAAGTATTGAATGTAAGTGGTATAAACAGTAAACAACTATGTTCATTGGCTGGCTAGCTAGCCCTGATGCCCCATCCTTCTCCAGGGCGCCTACTGGGCTGTCTGAAGGGGCTGGCAGGCAGTGTCCGTGGGCTGCAATGCCACCCTTCAAAGCCCCTACTAGCCTCCTGCGGCCTGGACAGAGTCTTGAGGATACACAGAATCCGGAATCCACGTGGTCTGGAGCATAAGGTGAGAGCCCAACTCTTGACTTTTTTCACCCATTCTGTTTTTCTCAAGCCTCCCTCTCTCCAGCCCCACATTCACGTTTCTGTCTCAGCTTTCTAAGACCTGTTTTATTTTGCAGGTTTATCTCAAGTCTCAACTGAACTGCCTCCTCCTGTCAGGCAGGGATAACTGGGAGGTGAGCAGCTGGGTGAGGGAATTTGGATGCTTTGGTTTCCTGTGGAGAGAAAGGGAGGCAGCCGGAACACAGATGGGGCTGTCCAGTTACTGCACCTTTACTTAATTTCCCTGAGCTAGATATTAAAGTCCTTAGGAGCTTTTCACCAAGGGTGAGATACTCCAGAGCAGAATGGCAGTGGCTTCTAGGAGATAAGGAGTGGTGCCCAGAGGAACTGTTTTCCAGATAAGTCTCCTCACTGACCCCTGAGTTTCCTTCTCACTCACCAGGATGAGCCCCAAGAACCTCAAGAGCCTAACAAGGTGCCCCTAGAAGACACAGAGACAGATGAACTTTGGGCGTCTTTGGAGGCAGCTGCCAAACGTAAGGTCCCTGATTTGGAACAGACACAAGGGACTCTTCAGAGCAGAAGGAGAAAAAAGAAGCGGGCTGTCACCAGTCCTTGAAGCCCCTTACTCACTTTGTTAATAAAACTCAAAAACACACCATAATCCTGAACCTTTTGTGACGGGAGACAGGAGAGAAGTGGCTTGGGTGGGGTGGGGGGGTTCCCTGAGCTAGGGCTGTGGGATACCTGACGTCACAAAAGCTGGGTCTGGAGCCAGGCAGGGTAGCAGAGTTTTGCGCTGTGCGCGGGGCCATGGGCTGCTGTCAAGACAAGGACCATCAGACCTCGGACGAACAGGCAAGGGAGGACCAGACAAACGAAGTCAGGGAAGGTAAAACAAGACCCAGGGAGGTGCTCCGAAGGGACTGCCTTAGAGGTCGGCCGGGAGAGAGCAGAGCTGACCTAAACAGCCTCATGACCCTTTCAGGCAATGACGAAATCGATTGGACAACGTAGGCCGCCGAAAACCAAAATCTAACGACAGCTTTCTGATCACCGCGCTGTGGCGCCGGCTATCCATGTTCAGCCGTCGGGGGTCCTCACGGTCCAGCAAGAGGCCCTCGGAACAGGGTGCCAGGCATGACAGTCCCATCCAGGAGCGCAAACGTGAGGAGAGCCACAAGGAGCCAGAGCAGGGTTGACCTCAACCCTGTGCCTAGTTCTCAGTCTTTCCCAACAACCAGAGAATAAAATTAATAACGTAGGTCTACCCAAAGCACTAGCGCTTCCGCAGCCAGCTGTGCCCTTGCCGGAGGCCACGGGCTCTTTAAGGCTCCAGCGGTCTCTCCCCCGGGCTTCTGCGCTTGCGCAGGGGGCGGGGCCACGGCGGCATGACCAATCTGGCGCGGGGGCAGGGCCGCAGAGGCAGCCTGGCCAATGAAGTGGCGAAATCGCGCCTGCTTAGGGTGGGGCGTGTCCTTCCTGTCTCCAGGCCAGGAGGGGCGTGGTACAGCTGCACGTCACGGGGGTGGGGTTACGTGTGGGTGACGTGGCGGCTGTTACTCTTTGGGCCGGTTTCGGCGGCTTAGGAGGCCAGCGAGGCGACGGTGACGGCCCGGGAGTGTGAGGCGCTGGCGGCGGCGGTAGGCGACAGAGGAGGTAGGACTCGCTGGAGGAGGGGTCCGGTCTCTGTCGGCTCGCGGGCCGCGGCCTCTCAGGGGCGACGGGGGAAGGGAGCCAGGGGCAAGGAGGCAAGTCCTGCTGGCCCGGCTCCGGGTTCAGGGAACACCTCACCGTCCAATCAAGAAAGGCCTTGAGGAGAAAGACGTCGGCCTTGGCTAATCAGAGGTTGCAGTCTCCCAGAAGGCGGGACTTTGATGGGGGTGGGACTTCCTGTTTCAAATAAACACTTAAGGTTTTTTTTTTTTTACCCCCTCCGCCCACCGAAGTGTGTCCACCTCTGGAGGTCCATGGCGGTTTCTCCGTGGGGGGTTAAAAACAATCGCGTACACCAGAGGGCACGGTTAGGGCCTGGGGCAGTTGCAAAGGTCTGGCTGCAGGCTCAGGGCGACCGGACCTGGCTCTGGCTGTTTCTCGACTTTCGGGGCCCGGGCCGGTGCTTTAGCAGCCGGAGCCAAGTTGGACGGCGAATTTGAGGAGGCTTCGCCTTCGGCCTGGAGGAAGCTCACCTTTCCCGCCGCGGCCTGGCTGCAGGGTCTGCGGGTGGCCTTGGGCTGGAAAGTGTGCAAGAACTGGAAAGGATTTGCTAGTTGAAGGGAGAGTTTGGGGAAGGAGGCTGCCTGGAGAATGACACTCTCCTCTCCGGAACAGTCCGAGGTTATGCGACTCAATGATCCCGCGGAAACGCTACGGATCTAAGAACACGGATCAGGGTGTCTACCTGGGTCTTTCAAAGACACAGATCCTGTCCCCTGCAACTGCTGGCAGTAGCAGCACCGACATCGCCCCTCCCTCCCCCCCAGTGGCCCTGGTCCCTTCCCCTCCAGACACCATGTCCTGCCGGGATCGGACCCAGGAGTTCCTGTCTGCCTGCAAGTCACTGCAGAGCCGTCAGGTAAGGACCTGGAGTGGGAAAGGCAGGAGTTTACCTGTTTATTTAGTACTTATGGTGTATCAGATACTTGGCCAAAGTTCTTTACAACTCTTAGGCTATCTAATTTACCTATTGGAAGTGGAGGACTTGTCTCCAGAGATTCAGAAGAGTTTAAGTTTTGTCATGTAGGCTCCAGGGTCAAGCTTTAAACTTGTCCACAAACCACTGATAAATCTAGATTATAAGAAATCTAGAAATCCATTTAGATAGAGGATGCCAACAATATTAATATGTTTAGTGGATATGTGAGGGCCAGTGAAGAGCTGGAAATGGATAGAACAAGGAACTAAAGTAATCAACCTTTTGACATTGCCTTTCAGAATGGAATCCAAACAAATAAGCCAGCTCTGCGAGCAGCCCGACAACGCAGTGAATTTACCCTTATGGCCAAGTGAGTTGAGAAGTTTTGTGATGGCAGCGATAGAATGTCTCAGAAACAGATTTGCCTTTGGTGGTTCAGCTGAGTGGTACTGGTTGTTTTGGAGGTTATGGGAATAGCCTCCCTCCTGCCCTTTATCACAGCTTTCTTACTAATGATCATTTGCAGGCGCATTGGGAAAGATCTGAGCAATACATTTGCCAAGCTGGAGAAGCTGACAATCTGTGAGTGTTGGGGTGGGGGGGGTTTCCTGTGTGACAGTGAAAAACAGAGTTCTGGGGAGTGAGGCTCCTGGAGGTTTGTTTTGTTGCATTGTATTGTGCTGGGGATTTAAACTAGGGCCTAGTGCCTTAGGCAAGTGCTTCTACCACGGAGCTATATTCCTAGCCCTGAGTGTTAGCATTAGCATCATCTGTTATAAATTCTCATTTGTCTCTGCAGTGGCAAAGCGCAAGTCTCTCTTTGATGATAAAGGAGTAGAAATTGAGGAGCTAACATATATCATCAAACAGGTGAGCTGCTAGCCATCAGCAGAGCCCAGCATTCGAATTAGATTACTTCCATGATTGTCTGTTGCCTTGAATCCCCAGAGCATCTAGACCCATCTCCAAACGCTCTGCTCCTTCAGTCATGTGGACATCATCATCTAGCATTTACAAAGCCGTGTACTGGGTTCTCGTCTTCAAGGGCTTATTGTACCAAAGAGTCACCCAGCTTCAAGAACCCAGACTTAAAGCAATAGGTGAATGGTATAAAAAATACTTTACAAAAAGATGAATCAGGATGCTGGGAAAGCTTATAGAGCTGGATTTAAGGCTTATGTAGAGGCAGTGGAAGGACTTCTAGGCTGAGGAAGCTGTGTGTAGAAGTGTTGCTTTTAAAATGGAAAGTTCACGTTTGCTCAGATGTCACCACCTTGGTGCAATCTGTCCTCATCATGGTGTCTAATAGTCCAGGATCCCGAACTTTCCTCTTTAGTTTGTTCTATTTTAAATTGGATTTGAACTTTCTAACATTCTCTATAATTAACCTTAAGTTTTTTTTATCTCTGTTCCCTCCTACCTTTCCACCTCTCAGAGAGACAGAGAAAGAGAAAAAATGAGAAAGAGAAAGAGAGGGGAAAACCTCAGGAGCAAGTTTTGGTTTTGGTTTCAAGACTGTTTGGTTATGTAGCCCAGGCTTGTCTCAAAGGTATAATCCTTCTGCCTTAACCTCTCAAGCCCTAGGAGTGAAGGCATGTATCACCTTGCCTCTCTTGGATTTTTCTTTCTGCTTGTTCACAGATATATCACAAGTGCTTATAACATTGTCATGACTGTTGGTTGGTTAAATGAGTGATTGCCCAGAAGTTTGACAGGAAGGTCACTACTAATTGTGAAGAGCATTGTGAACCTGCTAATGAGTGCAGAATCATCCTGAATGCTGTGACCTACACAGAGTTTGATGAGGGACATGTAATGGGGCAGAGGATAGGGAGGAGGCTGGTACAAGGGTCTTGTACAGAAATGACGGTGGCAGAGGCCAAAGAGCATGCCCATTCAAAGTTGCTGTGTTGGGATATTACTGTTTAGCCATTTAACATTAGCCCACTGGATTCAGACTTGAATTCAGATCACTATCACCCACTTTGGTTGTGACCTGTGTAAGCTGCTGTCTTCTCAACTTCTGTTCCCTTAATCAGTAAGACAGAGATAATAAAAGTACCTGCCCCAGAGGGTTCTTGTGAGGATTCATTTGTTTGGGTTTTTTTAGTCACTGACATGGCTGGCTTTTTCAAGACTTTGACTACTTTGGATTGGTTGATCTTAGCTGGTTTGGCTGAAGAAGTGCCATTTGAGCCCTGTCTGAATGGCAAAGAAAAGCAGGTCATCTAAAGATCTGGTGGGAATGCATTCCAGAAAGTGAAAATGCACTTTGAAACTGGAATTAGCAAAAGGAAAAGTGTGAAGGCTGGGCAACCTTGATGCGTTTGATAAGCACAGAAGAGACCAGTGGGGTTGCAGCACAGCAGAGGGGAGGGCATGAGGCTAGAGAAGTGGGCAGAGGCTAGATCAGAGAGAGCTGGTGCAAGGCAGCTAAGGAGTTGGGGTTGTAGTCTAAATTGGTGGTAAGCTCTTAGGAGATTTTTTTTTTAATAATTTCAAAAAAATTTTTATTATTTTTAATTTATGTGTATGCATGTACTGCCTGCATGTGTGGAAGTGCACCCTTGTCGTTCATGCCCGCAGAGGACAGAAGAGGGTGTCGGATCCCCTGGAACTGGAGTTACAGACAGTTGTTAGCTTCCATGTGGGTGCTGGGACTAGAACCCCAGTCCTCTGCAAGAGTAGAGAGTACTCAACTGCTGAGCCATCTCTCCAGCCCCAGCTCTTGGGAAATTTTTAAGCAGAGAATGACTGTACCCTGATTAGAAAATCACACTGACTACTATTTAAGAAGCAGATTATAGGAAGGCAGACTAGAAAAGGGACAGCTGTTTTAAGAGGCTCTTGGAAGTTATTTATTATTAGTTTATTTATTTTTGAGACAGGGTCTCCCTGTAGCCCCAGCTGACCTGGAACTCACTGTGTAGACCAGGCTGGCCTCAAACTCACAGAGATCTTCCTGCCACTGCCTCCCAAGTGCTGGGATTAAGGGCCTACGCCCACACACAGCTCTTGTTTTTTTTCATTGTTTTGTTTTGTTTTTTCTTTTCTTTTCTTTTTTTTTTTTTGAGACAGTGTCTTTCTGTCGCTCCAGCTGGCCTGGAACTTGCTATGTAGAACAGACTTGGCCTTAATTTCATAGAGATTAACCTCTTTTTGGAAGAGGGGTTTGAACTATGGTGGCTGAGAGAACAGGAGATAATATAGATAGGTTTAGAGTATATTGGAATGAAAGATAGGACGGACATGTATTGGAATCAGTTGGATTCTTCGTGGGCTGTTGATGGGCTCCATGTGGATCTAAGGGAAAAGAGGAATTGAGGGTTTTTGTTTGTTGGTTGGTTTTTTAAAATTAATTAATTTATTTTTTGTGTATGCATGTATTGCCTGCATGTAGGTAAGTACACCTGTGTCATGCAATGCCCGCGGAGGACAGAAGAGACAGTTGGATCCCCTGGAATGTTAGCTGACATGTGGGTGCTGGGATTTGAACCCAGGTCTTCTGCAAGAACAACCAGTGTTCTTAACCGCTGAGC